TTGGTCAACTATGTGTCATTTCAACATTTGTTCATGCACATTTGATGTAGGCATCAAACCAGTTGTCAATATTTAAGAGAATGTTAGACTCTCCATTATGAGAAGCAGACAGGAGTCTATGGTGCTTCAGCATCAGCTCTGCAAAAACCTGTAGAGATTTATCATGCCAGGCTTTCATGTCTCCATGAGGAAATATTACTGATGAAAGACAAGAGGCAGAGGTGGGGGTAAGAGCTACAAGCAAAGGTGCAGCTGAGCTCTGAGGCCTAAAAGTGCTGGTTCTAAAAATGCTCTGTGGTGTGAAAGCCAGGCTTTAACAGATGTGTTTGAGCACCAGAGTCAGGGTGACCTGACACTAACTAACAGAGATCACACCTGTCACACACATACTCACACCTCCACAGGAAGCACATGCACTGGACCATTTCTTGAATCTGTAATAGTGAATGCTATTGTGTAAGCCAGTGTTACGTGGAAAGGTTACACTAGCTTTAGTTTTCCTCTCAGTGATTTCAGCAAGATACTGTACTATCTTTAAACTCATTTTGTACCTCCATTTGCTATTTTTGTCCAAATGACAAAGTAATCATCACTAAAAGCTTAAAAATAAAGCTACAGTATGTGAAATGCTGCCGGACAGGTAATAGCTTTATTCAGTTGGACTCATACAGAAATACAAAACCTGCTGAAGCGCACGGCTGTGACTCACTAGTTTCTGTTTCGGACAGTCAGACAACTGGATGAAAAGAAAAGCTGGACTCTCTGACCTCCAGCGCTCAAATGACCCCCTTCGACCTGACATATAGGGCTGTATATATTTATTAAAGATGTAACAAAGACTTTGTGATTGCAACAATTTTCTGGGAGAAGTGGCAGCAATACAGGGGTGCCATGACTGTATGTCTCAAAAGCTGAATTGAAGTGTGAGAAAATGGGCAAAATGTCACACTGACTTTAAAAGAAGCTCAGTTATGTTGAGTAGAAATTGGCTTGTAAAAACAACCATTTTTGTAGTTTTCCTCTCCTTTGGGGTGCTTGAAATGAACTGACTTTGCTTCCACCACTCCACAGTACATTAACAGCATCACTCCGGTCCTTAGCGTCACACTTGTGCTGTCCTCAGCCCTGTGTTTGAAGTCAGCGGTGAGGGAAACACTAGAGCTGCAGAGGCTGCTGTGCAGCATCTGGGTTAGCTGTTGCCTAGCAACCGAGATAATTAAATCAGTCTTTGCTTCCAGTTATTATGAGTAATGGCCTCAGAAAAAAAAAATCAAGTTGTTCAAAACTATTTCATGCTGCATCTATTTGTAAGTCCAATAAGTGGATTTGCTGTTAATGAATGTATCCATGGTACTGGTAACGGCTCTATCAACCATGTGTTCGTTGATTTTCTCTAATGAAAATAAGCTCTGAGCACTGCACAAAAAAGAGAAACTATATTAAATTATGACTATTGTTGTGTATTTGAATGAAGCAATCGTGTGTACAGGTTTCTGTTAGCATATAGCCTTCAGCAGCAACCATGCAAGTGTTGACGCTTCACTTTTAGGAGCAAAGGCAGAAGTAGCATGATGCTGCTGTAATACAACAAAACCTCTTAGTTAGGAAGGTCAGATCAGCCACGTCATGGAAGGCTGATGTTCATATTCTACCATCAGTCAGTACTGGATTAATTTAACAATGACATGCACCTGTTTCCTGACTAAAATATGGTAGCTTGGGAAGATCAGAAAACTATATTTTGCTACAGTTTTGAAATCTCTGACAATACTTAGACAAGAGTTAAAAGTAAGCATTAAGGTGGATCTCATGTTTGAAAATGATTTCACTAATAAGAGTGGTATTGACTGGAACTGAACTGAATAAATACGAGTGGTCCTTTACAACACACGGAGCCAAGAGTAGCATCTCTTTTAAATTCAATGAGGAACAACAACATACCGAGTGAAATTATTCCAGTTCAAATTTGCATAATGCTTTAGTGTAAAACCCAGTTAGAGGGTAAATCTGGTGCAATACAAACAGAGACTTTGTTCTCCAGCTTCTGCACCTTAAAATCTTCTCATGTGGTCCTTCTTACACACTGCAAAGAAGATTAAACACTTTTTTTTACAGCCTGGATTGCAGAAGGTATAATTTGCTATAACTGAAAATGTCACAATTATGATTTCTTCGTTCTAAAATGAGGAGAGCCAGTTTTAGTATGATGATGATAAAAGATGTCTTGAAAGCACTGTCACGGCCTGAATTTGGAGTTTTATTACTAGCACGCCATTCAATGCCCAGACCTAGTGGTTGTGCCACAATTAGAATACATTAGAGTGTTTGTGTAGGCAGTAAGCCTCTGATCTCTTATTACTATATCCAGACATTCACCAGCCCATCAGTCACAACAACAAAATCCTTGAAAATATGACAAAAAACACTGCTTTCTTTAAAAAGTCAGCTGGGACTACACATATAGTACCCAGGGTTTCTGGTGTATTTTATACTTATGGTACAATATGTTTTACATGTTTAGAGTCAAAGCAAAGTGAAAAACAAGTACTGTACAATAGAGCATAAAAACATCTTTGGTTAACAGAAAAAAAGCAGTTGCATGTTCAAATTTAGATTTTCTTCTAAGCACTTTTCTAAGCACTAAGGACAAAGCTTCAGTGTTGATAGATGCTGATCGTGTGATAAGATCGAAAGCTCCAACACAGCTACTAAATGGACACCATGGTAAGACTGGATTCTCAGCTGTCATTTCTAACATTAACCCTGTAAAGCCCAACATATCAAAAAATAGCCAGAACATTCTAATTTTTTGGAAATGAGATGTTTATTAAAGCTTTTAATAAAATCCAAAATAAAATTTATGATTTGAAATTCAAGATTTTTATTTGCCATATATGCATAGACAGACAGTCCAGGCATATAGGAATAGAAGTGCTATTTTATTTATATTATTTCTATTTCTTTTGTATCACATTTGATACATAGGACATTTTTGGTGATTTTTTTTGCTCAGAAACCTCACGTATCAAATATGATACAAATGGTTTTATAAGGTTAAGTGCTCAAAAAACCAAAAATTTGAACATCTACCTTTCCATGACAACTGGGCAAATAAAAGGTGCTCATGAAAGAACAGCTACTAAATGGATGGTTTGGTGACAGTGGCTTCTCATCATTTCAAATTGCTCACGCTATAATGTTGGATATTTAAGGCTAAATAAGAAACAAAGCTAAAGTTTGGATGAAAAAACACATAGTTATTATGTTTGATCAGGCTCACAAATTCTCAGTGGCCAGGAAACACAAGCATCCAATCCACCATTTTGATTCAAATGATGCTGAACTCTGATGGAGTCCCGCCCACTTCAACATGAAAAATGACAAAAACAGAGATTTTAAAAAAATATATATCTCATACAAAACAATTAAATGGTTCCAATTTTGGCAGAACATTATGAGTTCATGTAGGATCACACCACTCATGGTAAGAAGTGTTTAGACTTTAAGCATCTCACTTAGTAAAATATCACTTTTTCCTGGACCCATTTTTGAGCAAATCCAAATATTTTTCAAACTCACTTTATGTGACTCCTCTTTGTATCACTGCACTCTGGTGTCAAGCTCTTAATGGTTGCAGGGGTGAAAGACTGAGGTTTGAATAAGTCTTGAATCAACTCAGGTGGGAAATATGTTCAAAGGCCAGAGTATTCTTAAACCCTCACACCAAAAAAAAAATCAATGACCTTCCTCTTGCATGTGACGCTTTGACTTTCAGAGTAGTAGTTTATCTACTGTAGCAGCTACTGCACACTACAATAACTGTCCAAATACATTCATGACTGGAATAGATCTATAAGAATAAACATGTTATTCATCTCTTTCCAGCTTTTAAGTAAAAGGAATGGATATTGTTTGCAGTTAAGCACGACTGCACAATTGCACCTGATAACAGCATGGATAGGATGCAGCATAGATCCATGTTCTTTGTGGACACAGCAGGGGATTGTGGGTATTCCCAAGGGAGTTGTGGCTTGACAAATATTTGAAGTGCTGCCCAACTCTGTTTACCTCAGCCAAAGCTTCAGTTTGAGGTTGCTATTGAATTATACATCACAAAGAAGACACAGCTGAAAATCATTTCATCAAGACTCTGCTGATGAAAAAGATGCGCTTGTATCTCTGCTCTTACCTGCTTTATTCTACGATCTGAAAGAGCATTTGATTTTTAGGAAACCAGAGAGGAACTGATAACATTTCTCAGTCTATGTGGTGCACCTGAGGTTCCAGAAAACAAGTGTAAACACACAGATAAAGTTCACGTTTCTATAACATGTATTTGCATACGGCACACCTGCATTTTTCTTATCAAATCCACAGTTAAAGTACAAATGGCAACAACATTCACTACATTAGAGGAAATGTGAATATTCCAAAAGTGGGATGCCAGCAAAGGGCAGGTTCATCCCAAACACTGGAGAAAAACTTGTCAAACATGGTTACAAAAACAATCCTACAGGATTAAATGAAAAAACAGACACTGAGATGTGTTCATTTACAGAGTGCAAGAGTTTAGCCATTGTAAAAAATGTTTTGATAGGAGGCTCTGTAGCCTCCCCTGATTGTTTGCTTTGCAAATATACTATCCAGTATCAGTGCATCTCTCAGTATAACAGTATTTTACAGTGTGTTCATAATGCCAGCTCTAATCAAGAAAGGGAGATTCGAGGTTTATCTACTTGTCATTGTAGAAGCTTTTAATTATGGAACTGGATCTGTGAAGTTGGACTGAGCAGACATATTTCTCACAGCATTGTAAATATTTTAAATCAAATTGATATTTGTCCAATAAGAAAAGTGTAATGCCTCGGGTGTCTGTTCTTGTGCAATACAAAGAAAAACCTCTATTACAGTGGCTACTACCACAGAAGTAGAAATAGAAGTATGTGAAAAGTTTAAGCAAACTAAAGGAAACAAAGCATCTCGCTGAGCAGGCCGACACATCAATATCCTGCTAAGGCCTTGACAAGAGGCCTAACCTGTAGTGCTGTGAGCAGGTATAGTTCATGGGTCCACAGTGGGAATAGGATCAGCTCCTCAGGTGTGTTACCCAGTGGAGGCAGCAGCCTCTTCTTGCTGTTCCTGGTCTCAGGTAACCACTGAGGTGGCAGCTCAAATGGCCCAAAACTAAACTGTGTGGAGTCATCAGCTTCTGTGGGTGTAGCTGGTGCCACCTGTGATGAGGAGGCGTAAGCGCATGTGTGCACTGGAGAGGCCCGGGGTGCTGTGATTACAGGGGGGCCCTCTTTGGTGATGACTAGCACTCCCCCTGAGCCCTGCAAAGGGTCATTTTTGGTGATCACCTCCCCTCTCAGACTCCCCAGTCTCGACCTGCCATTAGGGTCCTCTTTGGGCCCGGAGCAGCTTCCTGATCCTTGAGAAGGGGTCTCATTCTCCACATCCTCCTCTTCTTCCTCTTCCTCAGAGGGCCTAAAGATCTGCTGCTGGCCAATGTTGAACATCTCCAGGAGTTGACTCCCAGAGCGGCCAACAGTCTCCAGTCCCACTGGCTCCCCAATCACCCTCTCTGCTCCTAAAGATGCCAGACCACCAGTGCTGACCACATTACGGCGGCTGTAGCGTCTGTGAATCCTGGCCAGCAGGTCCAGCAAGCTATGACGTGCTGAGCGGTTAACAGTCAGAAACAAAAGTGGGTTGGTGAGCAGTGACACCTTGGGGAGCCAGAGTGCTGTGAGATACAGTGAGACTGGAAGCTCCTTGGGGTCTGTCAGAATAGTGCGATAAACCACCAACACCCCATAGGGTGTGCTGCAGGCAGAGAAAGCCAGAACCACGGCCAACAGAGTGGCGTGTAGCTCGGCCTCTCGCTGGGACACATATGGGATGGAGATGCTGTTCTGTGGAGTCCGCAGCGCCGCAATGATCACCTTCTTCTTCTGGCTGGCACTAAGCGCTCTGCGGATCAGCAGCATGAAGAGGAAGACCAGAGCAAGAGGGAGGATCACCGTGGTGACGCTGTAGATCAACACATACACCATGTGTCCCAGGGAGTGGGTGTGGTCATCTGAGCAGGACGAGGTGACGTACACATCCGTCACATTGGTCACAGCGAACACAGGGAGGCTCGCCACTGCCGCATGGACCCAGATATAGATAACCAGATCTCGGGATCTTGCATCTGAGATCTTCCTCTCTAATGGGTACAGCACAGAGTAGTATCTACAGACAAGAAAAGACAGTGCAAGTATAAAATTTAGGCTTCATTACCAACAAAAAAAGAGGAGCAGTTGATTTTAGTTTAATCTGTAGATGCCAAATTTATCCTATTAAAACAATAATGGACTTAATGTTTTAAAGGGAGGGGGGACAAAGGGATGGGATGAGATGATTTTCTCTTAATTATCTGTGGTGTATTAACTTATGCAGATGTTGAAATCATGTGGCTGTTTATAGTGCAAGCCCACAACAGCAAAACTAGAGCTCCTCATTTCTGGATTACAAATAAAGGCATGTAGATTGTCTCTGATCCTGCTATTGTCCCTTAATCATTAGCAAAACAAGTTGCATGAAGGACTTTATTTCCTTGTATTGTCTCTTCATCAACAAAAGCTAGTGTTTGAGTATGTGTGCTGCAGTCTCAGCCTGCCGGCATGCCCACAAACTCAATTATTCTCCATGAGAATAAATAATTCATTGGTTTTATGGCATTCTGACTGTGTTGGCTGCTATGAAGGTGATATCATCTTTGTAGCAGTGGAACCAAAGCCAAAATAAGACTGCAACAATAAAGGATCCACATTTAAACATCTTATACTCTATGTGTCCGTGTCATTGACCTTTTCTGATGCTTTGTTTGTAGAGTGCAGATGTAAATTATTTAAATTATTGGTAGTAATAGAGAAATACTGAAAAAATGTTTAAACTGGCTGAAAAAGCTACCAATAAAATTAAAAGTATTGAGATAAACCTATCAGTCAGTGTGAGACTGTATGTGGGCTGCAGCAGCCATCTCAAGCTGCTTTTGGCTGCATCCTTCAATGTCATAGAGAGGCCTGGCACAAGAGTCTGTCAGCGTGATGCACACATGCCCGGTCAATCACGACCGTCACCCCCTCTCATCCACACCACAGGGTGTAGATGATGGAGACTAAAAAACACTTTTTCAGCTACAAAAAAAAAACAATCTTTCAGAATCAAACCCCTGATTGATATTGTTCCGTTTGTGCTGCTCAAATATGTCCAGGTGTCCATTTTCTGGAAAAGAATTACTCCAGCTGACAATGTATTGATAAACTGATCACTACAGTTCCACTTCTTGCAAGTGGCACCTCCAAATCTTGTGAAGTGAGGGGGAGATGCACACCAGCCTTTTCCCAGCATATTTCAAAAGTTCTGGATGCAGAGCTGAAGTGAGCACAAAAATAAAACATCACTCATCCTACTCATGGAGAGAGTGCTCTTTTTAGTTGCTACCTGTTTTGAAAGAGGCTTGGGTTTTAATGTCAAGTGCAAACCAACAAGTATCTAGAACGAAAAATGTATTGTCTCTGTCTACATTTACTATGTGTATACAGTGAATAGGAACTGTATGTCAAACATTTTCACTGAACTAACCTGTCCAGTGCAATGGCGCTGAAACTGAGCACAGTGACAGAGCAGAAGAGTCTATGGAGGAACTTGATGGCCTTGCAGAGCAGCAGAGTGTGAAGCCACCAGCAGCAGCGAGGGCTTGCTCCGAGTGCCACGTCAAAGGGAACGCAGACCAGGCCAGCACAGATACCCGAGCACGCCAGGTTTTTAATGAAGCGATTAGTTACGGATTTAAAAACATTTGTGCAGCAGGTGCACCACAACACTGTGGCATTTCCTGTGTGGAGGAGGAGAGAGGTGGTTAGATGTACAGTTTGTTAGGGTTAGTCTCCAAAAAAGAAACTATACTTCCTTTTATTTGTGTAGCTCTTTTTACAACCAAGTGTTTTACAAATACAGAAATAACGGTGTCTAACTAACAGTTATGTGTCCTTAACGTAGGCATCACCGAGACCTCTACTCTTTGATAGTCAGAGGCTGCATTGTCTGTAAAATCAATTTGTCCTTTTGTGCCTAACATGCTCACCTGGCACTTGAGGAACACCTGGGCAACCACTTACAGCAGCCAAAAAGAAGATGAAGCTAACGCTAAACATAATTGCTTTTTCCACTTAACAAATGGCAGCCAGGCTAAAGGTAGCAACATAAAAAAAAACATAATTTAAAGCTTAAAAGCATATTTTGTGTACTACACACATGAGAGTAAGTTATGTCTGAAATGGTGTTAATAAACTGCTCTTTTCAATGAAGCATCATTAGCAACTTCTTAGGGAAATCCCATTTGTATTGTAATTCCTTTAGTTTCAATGAGAGATTTATTTATGAATGGCAGCGGAGGACTAGAAGCCAGATATAGTCTACATTCCTCACAGACTCTAGTTCAGTTGATGGTAATATTTGCCGGTGCCACGCACACAGTGGCATAGTAATCAGATTTATAGTCAAACTCAGATCTCTGCTTTATCTGGGAAAATTGATAATTGTTACTGCTTTATACTAGGAAGGTTATGAACATCACCAGTGTGTGTTTTGTGCAGTGAGAAGACAGACTGTTATGTAGTGGCAAAAGCAAACTTAATATAGTTTATACTTATTAGGCCAGTGTTAGCTACATTCTAAGTAAACAGGGAATATTTTGATTACTTACATAAACTCAACTCACATGAACGTAATGTCCACTCAGCACACACACACACAGACACACACATACGCACTCACACAAGCTGATACCAAATGTGAGCTACATGCTGTTTGATTACATATTTTTTCTGGAGTCTGATTTACTGCTAACCACCACCGGGCTAAGTATGGTCAGAGATGAACTTTTATGAGGATCTTCTGCATAAACATGGAGTCCAGCGTCCTGTTTTCCAGTAATTCTAGGGGCTTCCCATACCCGCGGGAGGGGGGCCCGCTAGATGTCCAGAATGACATGATGCAGGAGGTTCAAGAAGTAAGAAAGGGCTATATAATCAGCTGCAAGGCTGATAAGACAGACTCAGATAGACTCAGACTTGACGAGCGTGTGGATGCATTTGGGGGGACTTGAGAAGACAGACAAAGACCCCAAACTCTGCAGAGATCCACAACTCCAGGTGATTCTGTTTCTCTCCCTCTGGAATTCACATTACAATATATTGTTCAATGAATGATGATTGGCACTGCAGTGATTCTCCCTGTGAATTAATTCTATACACGACAGTTACAACAGGTAACACATTCATGTGCTATTCTCATTAAAGGCAAGAGGTTTACAATATGTTCCTGGCTGTTGATATGATGGAGGAGAAGTCAAAGCTATGTATGTATGTAAGTAAGACTAATGTGCTGGTGTGGTTACATCAAGTGGAAGAATATTTGTTTCTAAACCAGCACAAATTCAGGTCGAAAGAAGCTTATGGCCATGTCAAGGTGAAATAAGTAATATAAGCAAACACCTGAACCCCTAACACTACAATAACTCAGTCTAACAGGCCATTTTACTTCTTCAGGCACCAAATTTAAATTATATGTTTTAGCAGAGTGTTTTCTGATTGTCTGACATATTTCATTATTATAATGCTGTTTAACAGCCAATATTTAAGATAGTTTAAAACTAACATGTAAATGCAAAACACACTGACAACTCACAGGCACTTGGCCTCCAGTTACATAGCCTAAGTCAAACAGTACTTTTTCAGGTCAGCTTGTGACTAGTGTAGTGATAAACTGACTAACCCAGGTTTTAAAATAAACAAACCTAAATGCATTGGGCTTTATGATAAGGAGGATGAGCTTTATTTGCCTTAAAGACAGCCTACCAGCACTATTGCTTCTACCCATAATCTTTTATGAGTTCATGAAGGCTCTGCTTTTGGAAGCGTCTTGTTATTTGTTGCATACTGCATCAATTATTTAAATTATTCTGCACAAGGAGTGTCTCCATATCCATTTGAGGGCTTCCTTTGGAAAACATGAAGCTAGTGTAGAGGTTTTAATCAAGAAAATTCAATAAAATGCTAAATCGTCTGATTGTTTTACTACACAGCTGCAGGACTGTTTTATTTTGGGCCTGCATGGGAAGTCTACACTATAAGTTTATGAGCAGACTTACCGAGTAGCGAACCTATGACGATAAAAACCTGAACGGTGGTGGTGAAGTCCCGGTAAGCTTGCTCTCGGATGAGGCGCTGCTGCTCGTCCAGCCCGGTCCCCTCTGCAGCTGGGATGCTGTCCCACCGGGTCGGCGGGCTCGAAGCATTTAGGAGATCCCGCCAGAGGTGAGCTGCTGTGAAATTGGCTGCACCGTACCCGACCGTCGCAGCCTGGCTCCCGCTATCCATGTCGGTTCACCTTGCGATCCTGACGGTTTTCAAGAAGGCTGTCAGAGTCCAGCATTAAAGAAACATATTAGAACTGCTCAGCCTTGCAAAAAAAATGGGGGGGAAACATCAAAAGATCACAGATTATGTGCACAGGAGATGTCAATGACGATGTAAGATGGACACAGGTCGGCAATGCGCGCTGCTGTCAAAAATGAGATGATGTCTTGTCAGTAAATAAATTAGGAAAAACATGGTGTAAATCATCAAAGCACGGGGAAATGATAAGCCTGGGCTGTGTGCCACACAATCTTCCAATGCGTATGCATGGCAGAAATCAGTCAATCACTGAGATCCATGCGCAGTGAGGTTGGCTGGACGCTGCTCTCTGACACCCAGCGTGCACCTATAACCACACCAGGTTGCTAAGTGTCCATTCCGGGAAATAAGCTTGCAGCACCGAGCACACGCCGCTATCACCTCTCGCCATCCAATTAAATACTGTGTCTGTGAGGCTGTTACTCCTTCTCCCGCTGCCAATTGCACTGGTAGACTGGCTGGTGCGTGTGTGGAGCCTGCAAGTGTGAGGTGCAAGACTAGAGAGGAGAGCCCCTCCTCTTCTCACAGCACCGAGAAACTCCGCTGAATCTTATGAATGACAAGCATTATGAAAGAAAAGATGAACCACTCTTTAGTTTGAAGAGTTCAGGTCCAATTACACACTGGTAATGATAAATTAACATGCGGGTAAACTTACAGGCTGTCACCATCAATGAGACAAAAATATATTTCAAGACAAATTTCTGTATGAAATCACATCTGTTTAGCATAATAACAGTAAAACACGCTGCAAGGCAATTACCCTGTCAAAAAAAATAAAAGAAATAGAATAATAAAAGAAATAAAATAGTGGTTTACTTGACTTTACATGCAGGTCTCCTCTCACAGCTGCTGTCTTGTTCACCATGTACTCTCACAGGAGCTTGTGACATTCCTCTTTGGTTTCCTGAAAATACCAGAATAGGACAGGACAACTGAGCAAAGCAAAGCAATATTTTGTAGTTTAGTTAACGTTTTAATTAACAATAGAGAATCAATTGTATTTTCCTTTGTGTAGCCCAGAGAGAAGTGAAACAATAAGGGTCAAGATCAGTGGTTAACTGTAAATGAAATGAAAGAATGACTGACCAGCCATGCTTCAGACTCATTTTATACAATGTTAAGGTCTCAACAGAAACATTATGGAATAAATTTGTAAAGACTGTATATATCAACATGAACGCTGAGGGAGAGATGTCAGTGTCTTTGTCTCCATTTTTTGATGCATGCTACAAAGTTTTTTAAATCCCTGATAGAAAATCTTACATCACAAAATCATATTTTCAGGTTTTGAACATGAGAATAAAGCTGTAACACTTACACTGATGTTTAAAATATAGGCTTGGGTTTCACAGTCTTTCATCCTAAAAGTCCCCAGTTTCACTTTACACAGTATGTGGCAAGTTCGGCAACTCTGCAGGAAACATCAGAGGTAAATGCAGGAGGCTGGCACCAGATGGCATCATTCGCATAAATGAGTTTGACACCCAGAGCCCAGTATAGTTGAAATCAATGTAAATGTATTAATACACTGTTTTTCTGACATCAGGACGTTATCGTATGGAACATGCATGCAGAATCACAAAAGGATCAAGGATTCTTTAAATTATTTGTACAGTAGAATTGTTTAAAACAATCGGATACCACCATGGGTCCATAAAATATAATTATAATGAATTACCGCCCAGCCCTCTTCCAACCACAATCACAATAAATCAAAGATTTATACTGGGCGTTCACAAAAAGTTATTTAACACTGAGGAAAGGAGTGTTATATACTGAGATCTTAAGACACCTCAGATGACTAGTGATAACATTTAACCACACAATATGCAGCTCATTCTGAGACATTTAAATTTGGAGCGTAGGTCTTCTTCACAGCAGACATTGTCATGTCACGGCACGAAGAGCACAGGCACATACAGTAACCATGCCAACAATAACAATAGTCACTTTCCATTAAGATTTGACTACTTGTTGTTCAGGGTTCACTTTAGTGAAATGGAAACTCAGAAAACCAGAGTTTTAACATAGGACTGCTCATATGGCATTATTTAATACCCCTTTGCCATTTTCATTCTCTAGAAGCTAAAGACAAAGCCAAGCATAGCTAATTGTGACCGTTTTGGTGATGCAGTATTGCTTGCTAACAAGTGCTCTTGTCCAAGTGGCACTTGAAGAACTCATGGGCTCTTCCCCACAGGTCCAGCTGAGCGACACGGTGGGCTTTGGGCTCCCCACCAAACATCACATTGCTCCATATAGCTGTATGAAACCCAGATGGGCAAAAATGCATGTAAGGGACCTCCAATAAGTGCCCAGCTTTAAGATATGTAACCACCTGAATGATTCTTTGCTGTGACCCCTCGGTACTGGGGTAGCCTGCTTTGCAGTCATGGTCATCTTCAGAAACAGGAACTGGCAGCTGGCACATTCGATTGAAATCAAAGACACCACACCCTGTTCTTTTCCAAGGTGGGGTCCAATAAGATGTCACATACATCTGTGAGGCCAAAGTCTGTGACTTTAGCATTCTCCATGACAAAGGAAAGTGGAGATCTTTGTAGTGCAGCATTTATGCAGACGGCTGCTGAGATCCCTGAGAGGAAAGCTGACATGGTCAAAGCCAAACTGCCATTATGGGAGACTGATATCATGCCAATCCCAGGGCCTTTGACCTGTATAGAAAGGTACTGTGTTAATAATCATGTTTAGAAAATAATTGCTAATATGTCTCATCAACTGCTACTCAAGCCTGATAAATAAAAAGCTGGAACTAGAGAATAGGAAAAACTGCTTTTGTTTACATCAAGTCAGAGATGTAAGCTGCATTAAATTTATTGTGACCTTTTGCCCAAAACATTTAAATTGCGTCAGAAAGTATCATGTGGGAAGAATTAATGTGTTCAAACTGCTGGGGCATTTGAAAACTACGTAAAGAAAAACGGATATGCCTGTAACAGACAACATATCCAGATCCTTCTGTAGCCAATTGAGAAATGCTATGACTGCTGTTTTCCTGTGCCTTTATTTGACCCGTTTCTACACTGTACCTTTTGCACTAGAACTGCTAGATTTGTTTGAGATCTTTTATTTTCTCTTTTTGTTCTTATTTTCATTTTACGTATTTTATCTCATTTTAACAATGTTTTATCTTCACTTTGTCTTAACCGATTTTGTTATGGTTTTAATGCTGTTATCGTTTTCTCTTGCCCCTGTAAAACACTTTCATTTACCTATGTGTATGAAATGTACTAGGTAAATAAAGAACTGTAAGACCTAACTTCACATTAGCAATGAATTGCTCACGTCACTATAACATTGGCTACATTAGTTGGTTTCGTAGCAAAAAGTAACCCAGCCACCTCGTTTAAGCGTGATTATCATTTTTGTCTTTATTTACCACCTTGTAGGGCTAATACAGATCATACTGTTAATTTGTATGAAAAATATTATCGCCACAAGCCAGAAAACGAGGCCTAAAAATACACGAAAAAACTATACAACGCCGATGTACACAATGACGTAGCAGCCCGTCAACCACCACCACGTAGGAAACAACTGGATGCAACCACTTTGCTAGCTGAGGGGGAGTCCGGATGAACTACCTCGGGTGTTTTTAGCCCCCCCATGGTTTTGGTAGTACACTCTAATTGAAGCTAACGTAGAACCTAAATTGAGAAGCCCCATTAAATAAACCTAAATGAAATATTTTATTTTAGTAGTCATTTGTCAGCAAAAATGGTTTGGAACTTATCATGTATGTATGTATGTAGGAAGGTGAAGTTACCACTAGGTGTCAGCATAGGCACAGAGCATTAACACTTGGTAAAGCTTCAAAAGGTTGGTTAATGTCAATGCTTCAGAACCTCTGGTATCACTAATAAGTTTAAGCAAAAGAAACGCAAATAGAATATTTCATAGAAGAAGATGAGGTTGGATGTAAGTAGGGGTCACAGAGGGAGACAGATTTAATTGGAACTGGAGAAAGTAAAAGTAAAAGAGGATATGATGGCTACCCAGAATCATCAAATGTAAACATTTGACATTAGTGTTTGAGCTGGTGAAATAAAATTCTATGGTTTCAACTAATATTGATTTGTTTTAGACACTCAACTCTAGCCTGCATATTTAAATTTTGAGTAGCACCCCTTCAGCTATTGCTGGAGTATGAATTACCTTCCTACTAACAACCATTTGCCAAGTGCAATAACATCATAACAAATACAGAGATGAATTATTTAGCCTGATATTTTGAGGACAATACAAAAATAGTTAAAAGCAGAACTATAAATGAAGTTACCATACAAATAGGCTATCAAACAGAACTTCATAAGGTGAGCCATTAAAATTCTTGTCAAAAACTAATTTAATTTTAAAGCAGATTGTCTGTCTTGGATAAATGTTAACATGTCTGTCCAAGTGAATTGATGTGAAATGAAAATGTCTAAGAAGAATACAAATGGATTACTATATGATATGAATTAAATTATCCTCACACTAAACTCAGACCCAGTTTGTACAGTATGTTCCCTGGCAAAATCTTCTACAATAAACCTGATTTATTATATCACAGGACCAGAAAATCAATATCCCTTTAATCTTATATAGAACAACCACTCTATATCTGGTTGGCATGATTGATTAAATGTTTTCTGGTCTCTAGTTTTCTGAGATGATGCAAACATATGGGGTTCGGGGCATAGATCAGGATTTAAAAAGTAAATGACTGCCTCCTTTGATGCTTCTTTGCAGTGCTGCTTTATGTCTTTCAAGGTTACAGTGCCGAGTGACCTGCGGTTAGGTATGAAAAGAGATCTCACTTTCTTTCCTCTCTGCGTCAATGAAAGTAAAATCTCCACCCACTCCCTTTCTTGTGTCTTTTATCTGCAAGTACATACAGTACTGTGTGTTATATAATGAAACGTGTTCATTCTGTAAAAAATGTATTAAAAAAATCAGTTTTTTCACAACTTTTGGGTTTCATAAGTATTTAAGTGTTGGTTTAATGCATATGCTGTGGTGATGATGATGATGCACTGTACTTTCTCCAGCAGCAGCTACAAAGAAAAAAACGTATCACATGAACTAATAAAACACCCAAGGCTCTGTGAACTTTCAGAAATGACAGAGTTATTCCAGTCACTGTAACCTTTCAGATGATATAGCTATAGGTGCTGGCTGTCAAATTGTTTAGTTACATTTTGTTTGGTGTATTGAGAGCTTAAAAATACAACACATCAGTCTTTGTCAAGGATAGAATATGGATCCATATGGATGGAAAAATCTTGAATATATTTCCATCCTTGTCCTTGATGTTTACATAGCCTTTGCCTTTCTGTCCTGCAGTTTTATCTGAAGATGTCAGGGGAACAATATGTTGCCCTACTGACTCCCAGAGTGCATGTCATTTTCATTATTTTACATTACCTGGCACACAGTACAGCTGAAATGATTAGTTGATAAACTAATGAGTTGATTTTAATTTACAAAAAATTGATATCTGATTAATAGTTTAGGTAATCTCTTGTTACCAGCTTCTCAATGTGTATATGTATTGGTTTCCCATTTCATAGTAAACTCAACATTTGGGTGGGCTATGACTATTGGGCTGACATTTGAATATGTTAGTTCGGGTCTCACCCAATAATAGCCATTTTAAAATGATCTTCTGACATTTTATATACTGAACAATCAATCACTTATTAAAGAAAATAATTCAGATATATTGATAATGAAGATAATTGTTGGTTTCAACAAACAGCCAAATGATATGAAGTAAATCTGGGGCTTTTGGGGTCTCTCACGGACCGGTGGACCGGGGCAGTTGCCCGCTTTGTAGTCTAGTTTTGCAGTGTTTTTTTTCTGAATTTTGTTTTATTTTAAATTTTTATCGATTTTTTTTCTCTCCCCACCAAATATTGAGCTTTTATTTTGAAGTACTGCCTTGAGGTTGTCTTGACAGATTTGGATCCGCCCCTTTTACCGACGTAGCCATGGAGACCGCGCGAGAGCAAGGCAGTTCGTAGAGTTCTCACAGCGAATGTTTCCGCTCAACTAACATAAAGAGCTTGCGAGCAGCGAAACTTTTGGGTTTCATAAGTATTTAAGTGTTGGTTTAATGCATATGCTGTGGTGATGATGATGATGCACTGTACTTTCTCCAGCAGCAGCTACAAAGAAAAAAACGTATCACATGAACTAATAAAACACCCAAGGCTCTGTGAACTTTCAGAAATGACAGAGTTATTCCAGTCACTGTAACCTTTCAGATGATATAGCTATAGGTGCTGGCTGTCAAATTGTTTAGTTACATTTTGTTTGGTGTATTGAGAGCTTAAAAATACAACACATCAGTCTTTGTCAAGGATAGAATATGGATCCATATGGATGGAAAAATCTTGAATATATTTCCATCCTTGTCCTTGATGTTTACATAGCCTTTGCCTTTCTGTCCTGCAGTTTTATCTGAAGATGTCAGGGGAACAATATGTTGCCCTACTGACTCCCAGAGTGCATGTCATTTTCATTATTTTACATTACCTGGCACACAGTACAGCTGAAATGATTAGTTGATAAACTAATGAGTTGATTTTAATTTACAAAAAATTGATATCTGATTAATAGTTTAGGTAATCTCTTGTTACCAGCTTCTCAATGTGTATATGTATTGGTTTCCCATTTCATAGTAAACTCAACATTTGGGTGGGCTATGACTATTGGGCTGACATTTGAATATGTTAGTTCGGGTCTCACCCAATAATAGCCATTTTAAAATGATCTTCTGACATTTTATATACTGAACAATCAATCACTTATTAAAGAAAATAATTCAGATATATTGATAATGAAGATAATTGTTGGTTTCAACAAACAGCCAAATGATATGAAGTAAATCTGGGGCTTTTGGGGTCTCTCACGGACCGGTGGACCGGGGCAGTTGCCCGCTTTGTAGTCTAGTTTTGCAGTGTTTTTTTTCTGAATTTTGTTTTATTTTAAATTTTTATCGATTTTTTTTCTCTCCCCACCAAATATTGAGCTTTTATTTTGAAGTACTGCCTTGAGGTTGTCTTGACAGATTTGGATCCGCCCCTTTTACCGACGTAGCCATGGAGACCGCGCGAGAGCAAGGCAGTTCGTAGAGTTCTCACAGCGAATGTTTCCGCTCAACTAACATAAAGAGCTTGCGAGCAGCGCAGCAGTACTGACGGAACTACACGACGAAAACACAGTATTTTAAAACTATTTTACCACATCTCGGCTTTGATGTCCCCCTTTATACAACCGTTAATGCCTCGAATGTGAATAAGAGAGAGGAGGGCTCGCTGCTCGAAACCTTTACGTTGGTGAGTCTTGTCTGTTTTTTCGCAAGCTAAGCACAGATAGGCCACTACGAGATCTCCTGCTTTCTCTCCGCCCGGCTTCTTTGAAGACATAATTAAAACAACAATAAATTTTGGTTAATAAGGAGTTGTCAATTTTAGATTTGTTAGCTAAATAAGTATGTTATTAATTAAGCTAGCCGTAACCAATGACAAACGTTAAGATATGTCAAGGTTGGGATAAATGTCGTATTTCGTTTCTGACAGGTCTTCTTTCGTATTAAGTTGGATATAACGTTAGGTAAGTTTGATTAGAGGGTGGATCCTAGCTTAACAAAGTGCCAAGAAATACAGTAAAATAGAAAACTGGCTCGAGTTGCTAGTCAGTCCTGTGTGTAACAGCTGTAACGCTACTGTATTGTTGCGTTTTGGTCATGTGAACAGTAATAGCTAATACGTTACAAGAAGTCTGCTATAATGCAGTTGTCGCATCATTTCCGTATTATTTACTGAGTCTAAGTGTGAGAATAACTGCAACAAACGTCCAACAATTATATGTGTAACTGTTAAAATGGGGTTGCTTTGGTTTTGTCTTTGTTTTGTCGGTCGATTTGTGTGTATGTAGTGTTGGCAGTGCACCACAGTCTTTGTTTAAATAGCTCTCTAGTTGCACGTGTCGAAGCGTGTGACTGCGTTACAGCTGATATGAAGGGATTTTGAACACGTTTGAAACACTAGGCCAGGATGTATCAATGAGTTTCGGTTGTCTTTTTTCCCCCGATACTGTAAAATTTCCACCCCCTCGCTTTTATTCCAGTAAAAGTTTGACACGCTTCCTGTTGTCACAGTTTCAAAAGCGAAGGGCAAGGAAGTGCAGACGCGAGCTGCCGTAATAGAGGACAAAGATCAAATGTACATTAGAAGAACCACTGAAGTCAGAAAGGTATTCTAGCTTTGTCTGCTTTGCTTAACAGAAGGTTGACTACTGTTTTGATACAGTGGTTATGCACCATATGTTGTTACGGAAGCTGGAGTGGACATATAATAATACACAAGATAATTTTCATTTGTTCTATAAAACTGTGGAAAATGCCTGTTGCAGTATCCCAGAGCACAAGGTGATGCCATTAAATGCCTTTTGTCAAATAACAGTCCAAAACCCCCAAACATATAATTATATACAATTTTATATAATGTAAGACTAAAGAAATGAAATACTAAGAAAAACAATATGTTGATTCATTGCTTCACTTTGCCACTAGAAAAGCAGCCTGTATGAGTTCTGATTTGATTTTATGTAGAGACATTGTAATAAAGTCAGTTCGTTAACGTACCTGTTTCTAATCCTTCCTGATAGTTATATGAATATTTATCTGGTCACATGTGTATTGTTGGTATGGTGTTCCAACCATTTAGAAGTAGGCTACCAGATGTTTTTGTCAACTACTTATTTTGTAGGTCATTTTACTGGATAGATTCTACTTTTGCTTGATTCAGACTGTTTTTCTTTGCAGAAGAGACTAGTTAATTGTGTAAAGTGTCAGAATGCGTTTTTGCAGCCTATATGGCTCTCAGGTTAAAACACACTGTGTAACACCAATGAGAGCTTTGTGATTGTAGGTGTGGCATTTTAGAGGCCTTTTCTGTTTGACAGCATAGCTTAGAGAAAACATTTTGTGAGTCAAGATAAGAGCACAATTTGGCTTTAATCCCGTTCTCAGATTTTCCTGCCTATTACCGCTATCAACATAATGTATGACTGTTTCTTTTAGTTTTATTTTCCCCTTTTATTTGCGTTTCATTTTTACCTTTCTCCCAATGTCACCTTCTTCCTATATCTTCTGTTTTTGTCCCCTTCCTAGAAGCAGTACAGAGGGATGCTTAGGCACTGTGGGGCTTACTGCTACATAATACTTCATAACAAAGGCTCCTTTCTGTGCTACCATGGGGAGCCCATCTCAGGGCTCCCTCTGCAGGCTCGGGCCCGCCTATTGAGTGGAAATCTCCTCTCGGCTGTTTCTTTGGCACACTGAGTGCTCTCTGTTCGCAGACACATGCCTGTGCTGCTGCTCTCCTTGGCTCCCTTTGCATTCCAGGAGCTCCGGGCAGCTGAAAAACTGCAGTAGCAGCCTGCTGACTGGCTGGTTGTCTCATTGGTGACTGAAGTGGAGAGTTGCATAGTTTTTTCCTCAAGTGGAGGACTAAACAGACAGTGTATTATTGCTGTAAAATCTCTGACTTTCTTAATGGAGTGGGTTGAAAATGGCACAATTGACATTATGTGATGTCTTCAGTTTGTTTGTTTCTCTGACCAAAACCAAAGTTTTCAGCAATATAAAACAGGGAAACCCTTCAAATCCATGCAAAGTAGAAACTGGAATCAGCATGTTTGGTATTTTCAGCTAATTATTAATTTTAATAATCATATTAAATCACGGGTGGGGCCGGAGCCAATCCTGGCCGGAAATCGGGCCACCCGTGACCCCGTTCAGGGACTAAGCGGTAGAAAATGAATATTAAATCAACAAATCAGTGGTTAGCGCTGTTGTCTGACAACAAGAAGGTTCCAGGTTCGAGCCCAGGCTGACACAGGGCCTTTCTGTGCAGAGTTTGCATGTTCTCCCTGTGCCTGCGTGAGTTCTCTCCGGGTACTCTGGCTTCCTCTCACAGTCCAAAGGCATACAGCTTAGGTTGACTGGTGGTTATAAATTGTTTATAGGAGTGTGTGTGGTTGTCTATCTCTAAGTGTCAGCCCTGTGATACACTGGCAGCCAGTCCAGGGTGTACCTCGCCTCTCACCCAGTGTCAGCTGGGGGCTCCGGCCCCCTGTGACCCTATTTAGGAATAAGCGGCATAGATAATGGATGGATTCAAAATACAGCTATTAGTATAAAATATTATAAGTATTAAAGTTTCTTGATTGTAGCCATCCCTGGTAGGCTAGTGGTTAAGGCACATCACTGTCGCCGCTGTGGCCTGGGTTCAAATCAGGGTTGTGTCAGGAAGGGCATCTGGCGTAAAACCCCTGCAAAATGTCAACATGCAAGTCGTCACTGTGACAATTCGCTGTGGCAACTCCTAAACGCGAAAAGCCGAAAGTGAATCTGTCAATGGTGTTTTCTGAAACTAACACTCTTTTGAAACAAGGAAGTTGTCCTGTTCTTCTGTATGAGAACAGGTAGTGTTTCCTTGACTTGCAACATTTGTGTCTGTGGGCTGACGCCGTTTCATGTCTTACATGTTCTTATTAAATCTGGTCAGTAAGTCAGTCTAGATAACCTTTGGTTTCTGCTCATTTATACATTCATTTTAGTTGAGCCTTTCTGTTGGTGCATCCACTTTGATAAGATACATCATATTTGGTCCATTATAACGTAATTTAAAACTGTCATACTGTGATAATGGCTGGATGTCAGCCTTGTAGAATGACTTTGTAATGACTGAACATACTACTGTCATTACAAGCTGTAAATTGAAAGACTTTGGTTAAGCTAATAATATTACCTGGCTTCATGTAAATGCAGACAGGAAGTGTATGGTTTTGTGGGGTTGATTTGAAAGTTTCTTTCAGAAAGCAGATGCTAAATCTCTAGAGACAGCAGCAGTTTTTTGATATAATGTGTCAGCTCAACCTCTTCATCCATGTCTGACAAAAAGCCCACACAGTTGCATGTCAGAGTTCACATCAAACTTCAAGTATCTTGGTGATGTGCTGTCAAACTACCTGCTGGGTTATTAAACAATTAAATGCATGAACATGAAGCCAGCTCAATAAGAGATTTGTTAAAAAAATCATTAAAGCTCTGAGCTATCTTGTTCTAATTAATTGTTAATGCGATACTTTGTGGGATACCTTAACTCCAAGATAATGCATTTCTAATTTCTCAGATGTTTTTATGTGAAAGCAATTGAGCTAATTCTGCTTAGGTTTTCACTGTGCATACATGCTGGTCAGTAAGGACTCTGCCCTCAGCTCTCTGTGGAGGTCAGTCCTGCAATATAGATGTTAACCCCAGCGATTAGTTGTATTCCAGGAAGTGCCTTTGGGTGAAACTCTTTATGTTTTTGTCCTGTCTTTGACTTTTGTTTATCCTTGATATTTCTAAGACATTTATCTGGCAGGAACATTAGCTGAGTTAATTCAAAGCTTGTTTGTAGCCCAAGCCTTCGCAGCAGTGCTCTGGCTCCACATAGACAAATGAGGAAGCATCTATGGATCAAATGGCTGGCACAGGTCCCCTGAATGTGTTTTTGACTGTCTGCCCCTTGGCTCAGTGCAGTTCCCAAACTGTCCTGCCAAAACCAACTCGCGTCACTCTCTCCCACTGGCCTGTGCTACATGCAGGTATACCTCTCCATCCCACTCTCAGGGACATCAGAAACCTGCCAGGAAGTAGGGGTCCTGTTGTTTTTCTGCCATTGTAACTTATCTAGATCTTTTTTTTAATTTGAAATGTAGCCTAGATCTGGACAGAAGGTAGACTGGGCGTACAAGAATTCTAAGGTGTCCACTGCTTATTTTTTCATGTGGCTATCAAGTGTTGCTTCCTGTTGGTAATGCCTTACCACCTGATTTTTATGTTATGTTTACTTCCTGCAAGGATGAACAGTACAATAGTCACCCTCTGATACCAGTTCTGACACCTCACCTTAGGGTATCTTACAATACTGATTACTAGGCTAATCAGCTTATATTATTATTAATTTTTTGTAAGATAACATGAGAACAGTGATTGCTGCTCTGGGATAATGAATGCAACTTGTAGCAGAAAATATGAATTTTTTTCATGACTGACAAAAGGACTGAATTTATTGACAATCTGTCATATATGGCTGATTTCTGTTCTACTTAATGAAGTCTGTTTTGGCCTTGATGCGATCCAGCAGATTCACCCGTCTAGTATGTGTGCTTGTGTGTTTACAGTTACTTCCTTCATCACAGCATTGCATATGTGGTAGCACCAGTGGCCACGCAGCACATCCGCATTCAAATTTGCAGCTCTCCAAGTGCTGCTGTGCCAGTAATGTAATTAGCTCAGCAGCCTTGTGTAACTGTAATGGGTCCTCTGCCCTCTCTTGAGGATGTGCTGCCTACCTGCCAGTTAGTTTCCCACAAAATGCGGCTACTGCTACTTCATCCCAGTCTCTTTAAAGCAGCATGAGCAGTGCTCTGTGCACCTGCATTTCATTTACATAATGATTTAGTACATCTTGCTGTATTGCCACAATCAACCAAAAATGCTTATAGGAAGTTATTTAAGTTGGCATCATAGAGAGATTTGTGGAGAGAAAATGGGGGCGGGGGGGTTTGTCCCACTGATGCTGTTTAAATGTACCTCACAGTAAATCTTTATCTCCTTCCCCACTTTTTGCTGCTGTTCTGGGGACGCAACACAGTCTGATTTTGCAACACAGAGACCAGTAAGACTGTGATTACCAAAGAGAAACACCTGATAAACGGAAAAAATACTGCTTGCTTTCTGTTATAAGTAGTGCAAGAAAGAAATGAGAATGTTATTAGAATATTATTTGTTAATATTGGCCATAAAAGATAGTTTACTTCTGTCATCAGCTTATATAGTATGCTATGTTGGACATATTAAAGTACTGAAGATAATTTCAGAAAGAAGCACCGGATGTGGTTGTCTTGTCTTTGCATAATGTGTCTCCATAAATTCTGCAGCATATGGCAGTGTAGCATCATGGATGAGCTGATTGTGCTATGGCATCTGTTTGTTATTCAACTGTATCCTCTTTATTCTAACTTTTTAATAAATAGATTTCAGGATTCCTTCCCTAAAAGTGTTTATGCACATTTGCAAATGTACAAACTAATAGTTTATTGAGCAAATAATGAATAAACTAACACCAAGTTTTGCTAATGAGCAACACTGACCAAGCACCAGGGAGCAGCCTGAGACATAAACTTACTGACTTATCTTACTTATTTCATGATAAAGTTTCAGTAAAATGCAGCTTTTAACCATTTTGCAAAAGTTGTGGTTTTAATTACCCCCCTAATGCTACTACCTCACCAGCAGGGATCTGTTTTCCTGTTACAGTATCTACAGCAGAGTGTAATGGCTGGTTTATATAGTTGGAGCTTGTGGCAGAGCTTAAGAGTTGGGATTGAGGGAACTCTCCTGCTATTTCTGTCGCTAAGAGTCTTGTCTGTCTGGGAAGATATTTAGGTGTGGTTTAAATAGCAGGATGCTGTTTGAGGAGCTAACACACGTAAAGAGGAAGTACACAGAGACATTTGTGCAGTTATCGTTATCAGTAAACCACCTGCTAATTGATAACAT